GATTCTGTAGAACGATTCAATTCCTTATCGATTCTTTTATCGATTCTGTAAAACAATGAACGTGGTAAGTGCACGGTGACATTCGTCTACCTTCCCCTGGGACATTCTATTTCTGCCTGCCTCAGCGAAAACAGAAGGCAATGAACGGGAGCTGCTAGCCTCTGAGCCAGACAGGCTACCCGTCTCGTCACAGTGATCTAAATCTAATGGTGAAGGCCTCCGTTTAATGAAAAAGCATTACTGTACAATTTCGGGAAATAAACTCATCTCCCCTTGATTTAAATAAACAAGCGTCACCTTTCTCTCGCTCCCTGAACTGCAGGGCAACTTCGTAGCATGTTTAATAACTCCAAAGAGAGGTAGGGAATTGGTTTATTTCCAGAAATGGCCTATGATTTACTAGGAACCACATTAAGCACAGCCAGTGATATAAAACCAGCTACTTACCACCAGAGTTGCCGTCCATGGCGGTAGTAACTTTAGCTTCTATCCAGAAGCATCAAAAGCACGGCGTTCGTTAAAATGTATACCATATTGTGTGCGTAGGTGTTTCTGCATGTTGGATGTATTGCCTCCCACGGATGTTATTGCCCCTTTGCAATGATTGTGAAGCGCCTTGTTGCCATCTTTCAATTCCTTAAAATATAGCAAATCTTTCGAATGCTTTGACTGCTTTTGTTTTGCTTTTATAGACTTAGGCCCGGTCACGTCGTACTTGCTTACTGAATGCCGTGTGCGTAACTTGCTTAAAAAACCTGACCTAAGACGTGCTGCCCGGTGCTAGGCTCTGGTGCTGCCTGGAATCGTTAAGATAATTGTTAAGCGAGCTGCCAAACGGTGCCACAGAACCGGTTCTGAACAGGAACCGGTTTTTGATTCCCATCGCCATCTGTGTGTTTACCTTCATCAATGGTTCTACATCATACAACCCAAGATATGGCTGATTAGGTACGGGTCATATCTGTTTTGTTGCCTTAGTTAGCTTTTTAGACTCCCACTAGACTCATTCAGTGACAGATCCGACCCTGTGGTTACATGGTTGAGTTTGTGGGAAGAGCAGCCCGCTACGTGCCCTAAAAAATCATTCAGTATCTCAAATAATGTTAACAGTAGGGTAAACAGTTATGCAGCTTTGCTTTAAAGAAGATAGGTACAATTTACTTCCTCCGCCACTAAGTGGGACAAACATTCTCACCTGCTCCTGTTTGATTAACATGAGCAAACGTTTTATTCACTTTTGCAGAAGGGAAGCAGCAACCTCTGCTTGACTTCGGAGTCCACTTTGCTTCCTCAATTCGACACAAACGCTCAAAAGCCATCGTTTTGTTTCGTTTTAGGGTTTTCTTGAGAAATATAACACTGGGAAGTCCTTTTTGAAGCTATTTCACACAGCTACAAGAATCTGGTCATATCTACTGTGACTTCAATGTATCATTAGTTCAAGTGGAGCACAATTTTTTTGTGTCAATGTTGGTATCATAAATAGAAGTACACATTAATATTTTTGAAAAACATCAAAATAAATGAAAAATGGCCAAAAATCGCACTTTGACCCAAAATGGCCGACCTCCTGTGGGTTTTAGGGCATACCTCCAAGAGACTTTTTTTCACGATTTGAGGAGATCTACCTGTGTGCCAAATTTCATCTCTCTGTCACTTACGGTTTCCCCCAACTCACGTTAGGGGGAGCTGTGGAGTAATTTGGGGGCGGCCATTTTGGATTCCATTATAGACCGGCTATTTCACGCGGGGGACAATTTACTGCCACATTTTCCTGACTTTTTGAATATGCGAAGTCCCCGTAAAATGCGTTCAAAGAGCTACAAGAATCGTAATAATAATAAGAAGAAACCATAGAGATACAATAGGCTCTCGCAGCCTTCGCTGCTCGGGCCTAATAAAACAAATACTAGTATGCTATATATATATTGTCTTCTGTAAATAATACTTTTATTCTGCATCAGTCTATCTGTGGAAGGATTATTAATTATGGTTTTGATGAAAAAGCTGTAGCTGTGACCTTTAGATGGAACCTATGGAAACATAATCTTCTCTGTGTGTGAACCAGACTGTCAGGCTTTCCTCGCCTCATCAATAAAATCAGCTGAGCTTCCTGACTGATGAATTTTACCAGTTCTGTGCCGAGATGAATTTAACTTTTCCAAAACATATAAATTCACCGCAGGAGTAATACAAATGTGGAATCCAGATTGGGTTAGGGCGGCTTGCTTCATCTAGGAGCAGTTATGTGTTATTGGATTCTCAGTTTGAGAGAAAGTAGAAATCCTTATCTCCATGAAGCAAGGAGGAGCCAAATATTCACGAGGACAAAGTGTTTAGAAGGAAGCCGTCCAACTGTCCCACCGATCCTCCACGGTGAAGCCAGCTCTGTCTGGCTGAGACACCTGGAGGAGCTGATGGACGGCCAGAGGCAGGGATTAAAAAAATGAAAGTCTGTGCATTAATTTAGTAGCTGTCTGCATCTGGTTAATGAGGTCAGCAGCTGCAGCCAAAAAGAACAGAGAGAAAAAGGCCTGCGGCTGTTAGTTTTTCACGTTAATGTTGCCGATACAAAACCAGCATTAATCTTGATCCAAAGACTTTTATCCTCCAAGGAAACATTTATTTTCAACCATTAAAAAAAATCAAACGAATATCAAATTAACAACAAATAAATAAGAGGACTGAGACCCACCTTCATGTGGGGGTCTTCCAGTAGTTTCATCAGCTCTTTTATGTCTCCATTCTCCGATTTTCCGCCAAGATTCTCAGAAAGCTAGAAAAACAATGGATAGAGAAATATCATTCAAATGTTTTAAGACAAAATATTCTAAATCAACTAAAACACTAACATTGGGTAACATGGCGTTGGGGTTCAAACATCTTATAATGATTTTATTAACACTTTCTTGTTCTTTTAATGCTCAATCAATAATATCTAATCATCATAGCATGACAGCATATAGGTGCTTAATCATTTCTCAGGTGCTGTCCGTGGTGCTGATTTAAAGATCTAAAGCGAGAAGCTGGAAATCATCATGATGATCAAAAGCTTCACTAAATATCATCTGAGGCCAACTGTTTTAGAAGCCATTCTTCTAGATCTGCAACCAATTAAGTCAAGTTTATGCCTAGCTTAAAGGTGCAGTGTAGGACTTTATTTTTCCGGG